ATATATATATATATGTACTTTGATCCGTCGATTTTATGAAACAATCGAAGGAAATCACCTACGCGAAGAGGGGAGAGGCTAGCGATATTCTCGGTGAAGAAAGACGACTCGACTGTGATCAATTTAACGGCATACGAGAAAACCGGAAATTCAGTGCTATTTACGGAGATGCTCTTTCTAAAATAAATCGTCCCGTCTCGTCGCGCATCGCCCCTCGCCTCAATTGTTTTTCCATTGCCGGAGGCAAAGGAGGCAGACTCGTGCGCGTCCTGCAGGCTTGCAAACACTTTCCAAAGGCTGGAAATGCGTACGACAACGCGGGTTGATCGATGGCCACTGCGGTGCCTGTGCCTGCAAGACCAAGCTCGAGGATCGCTTCGTTGCTTTAATTGCTATAATAGCGCAGAGTTCGTGCAATCACGAGAGCTTATTATGCGTAGGATTGGCCGTGTCTGTGTCTGCGTTTGCCCATAAAATACACGCAGGACTTGATAAACAATCTTTTATTACTGTTCGCTTATCTCTGAAATAAGCCTTTACAGGTTTGACTTCAAGTTCATCAGGTTCTCGACAATGTTCACGACGCTCGTGGCGCAACCCCAGCATAACGTTACGCCGCTTCCTCCGTGTCCGTAATTGTGTATCACCTGCAAAATGTGTGTCCCGCGTGAATTTCGATCGATCGTGAACGATTTTCGTTTCAGGCTTCTCTTCAATACCGTGACTTCTCTGCCTTTGGGAGACTTGCGAACTTCAGTCTCGATGCGGACTTGATGCCTCCCAGGTCTAAGGCCAACCCACTCTTTCGTTACTTCGGCGTTCTTCGAAACGAAAAGGAAGAAGGGATTAACAATTAATCAGACTGATTCGGTTTCAACGAATGATTAAAGGAAACCTGTGTACCTTGAGACTAGGTAAAATTCGGTGACATCCAGTGTAAATAAATTCGCTGTCTTCCTTACGTGGGGTGCAATCGAAATCGTTCTCTTGGTGAGTGCCGCCCAACACCACGCTATCAATGCTTTCGAAAGAAGAATCTTATCGATGAAATCGTCCTATTATGTTATTAACACATTGTTCACCGGTTAACTCGTGTTGCATTAGTTATTTCAATCTTTGACATTCAGGCTAATATAGGTTATCGTGAAATCTTTCACGTGTTCACTTTATTATATATATATAGAAGAAAAAAATTAGCTTTATCGATATTTAGGTTTCACATCGCAACTTTAGCGTTGCAAAAATTTCAGTCGCGCACGGTGAAGAACTTTTCAACGAATTATATGCAGACGTTTCTGTCCGATTTCGAAATATATCGTAGCGATATGGGCATTGATAGTTTATCGGAAGACAGTCATGAATCGGATGTTAGACCTCAAAAGCCAAAATTGCAAAATCTGTTACAGTTTATCACGTCAAAATAATTACTATATCATATGTATAAAATATAATATATATATAGGAGATACACAAAGTTTTGTTTCAATTCATTCTGTATAAATAAAGTATATCAAAGTTCGTTTAGACAGCTTCTGCGTAAAATTTGCCGGTACAACAATGTGTTAATCGAAATATATATATATATATATTTTTTTTTTTTCGATCTTATAGTTATAGTTATACTTCGGTATTATGTAATTTCCGTCGTCGTCGTCTGCCAAATGCGCGTGCATTACCCAAGGTGCCCGCACCTTGAATCATACAATACGTGAGGGAATTCGATACCGCGATATACGCACGTATCATTTTCTACCAACCCTAGCAACTTGACCTCTGATACACTTGACGCTGTTATCACCCGCGAGTTCACGTGCACCGAGGCCGGTACAATTTATTATCAAGTCGTATCCATCGTCGTCGATCAGCTCGTTCAGCGTGTGAATTTTTCTTTTCCGAAGTTCACCGCCTGCATCCAGGAACTGTCTCGTTAGCCAAGGCAGCAAACGAACCGGCTCCACCGTGTATGTTAGGAACATCCATCCGTGTCTACAATTGGCATGAAAATTATTTTCTGTATATATATATATATTCATTATATATATATATATTCATTATATTCATTATATTCATTATATATATATATATATTCATTATATTCATTATATATATATATATATATTCATTATATTCATTATATATATATATATAT